AGCGAGACTGGGGGATAATCTCGACTTGCTGGCTTGGGCCGCCGGAGTTTGAAAATTAGCAGATGGGAAGAGATAAGATAAGCCGGCACAGGGGCTGCCGAAGGATCGGCGCACCTTCTCGTGTCTCGACGCGCCTCGACGCGCCGTATAGTAGCAATATAATCGTATTTTGTCCCTCCCCTCGCGCGTGAGTAGCCCGAATGGACCCACAGGGTGTCCCAGTGAACCAGCGGTACGATCTACCCCCCTGGGCCTATGTACAGTGGAACATACCACCCCACATGCTCCGAGTCGACCAAATCATCCTCGCATTGACATGGGCTATTTCTCAGGCTGGATACACTGCGATCAAGCTCTTTCTCGCCGACGAAAATAACTGCAATGAAGAGTCTCGTATCTTGGCTGCTCTGGAAATACTACAAGCTACAAGACTATCTGTTACTGACTTGCTGCTCAAGATCATCTATGCCGACGAAAAATCGTACCTCTCGGTCTATCGGACTGGTTTCTTCAATAGTAACGCTATCGAATTCCTCTGGAATGGGCTCGGGGGACTGAACGAATGGAAGAAAAGGCTAAAAGACTGGCTCAGTGCAAATCACTTGGCGCATATACTCACCTTTGTCGACAAGGAAATGACTCGAGTCTCGAAAGTTCTGTGGTGTCTCGGGCGACGAGCTCACTCCAGAGATGCTAGAATCATTCAATCTCAACAAGGACCTCTCAGAGCGCATCAAGGAACTTATGCCGAGGACATTCGAGCTTGTTTCTGCGCTTGTTCGAACGAAGGCCCAACGCTTGGACGATCTACGACAAGATACTCTTGCGGTATTTTTTCCTTGGTATCTAGCTTGTCTATCTAACGTTCTAATTCCCTGCAAAGGGTGTCACAATATTTATCTGCCAGTTCGCGCACCTGCGCTCTCAGAAGAACATGTTGTTTCAAAATCAATTCGGTATATTTCTACTCAGTCTCAACATGCCGAAGCGCGCCGTCGAAGTCATGGCAAAGCTTGGTCTATGTCCGTCGTGGTCTTCCCTCAAGCGTACGAATGCAAAGCTCGCTGAGAAGCAGATCCTTCGCGCTCGTCTGGCTGCGCTCGGCTTTCACTCCAACGAGGTAGACCGGCCATCTGGATCATGTGGGCTTCGTCACAGTTAAGAACGCCGATGCTCTTCACGAAAGCTCGCGACGTGAGCATGATGAAGGCGAGGCGTGGTAGGTGTCCGTTGTTTCGAAAGAATTGCTCGGGGGCGACAAGGATATTTTTGTACACTCCCTGGGCAATATCCTGCATAACAGTAAGGCATGTTAATGCGAATAGTAGATCGAAAACACGTACCTTCCATAGGTTTTTATCATCTGGTGTGTCCTCGTTGATTTGAATGGTCTTGATCCCATATTGCTCAAATTCGTGAACCTAGAGACTGGTTAGCTGACAGAATAGAAGTATATAGTGACTTACATGATTTTTTTGAAGCAGTTTGAGCGGTGAGATAGTGATCGCTATCTTGGACTGGTCGCCTAGAAGCAGAGGGAGTATCATAGCCATTGTCTTGCCATACCCTGTTCCAGCGCGGACAACAACGTTCTGGCCAGATAGAGTAGCTACAGTAGACTGTAGCTGAAACTCCCGAGGAGTTTTAGTTCCATTGAACTGCTTGTCGAACCAGGATGTAGCCTTGAAGATGATCTGAGCCTGTTCAAAGGAGAGGCTCTCGACAAACGATGGGGATAGTTCTTCAAGCGATTTCTGCGCGTTCGGGGAGAGCTCTTCGGTATGGAGTAGATCGAATATATTCATGACGAGTACACGAGAGGGACGGTCGACGAGGAAGGAGTATACGAGATAACAAGTACTACGCGAAGGGACTTAGACGCGACGCATCTAATCTACAGGGGTTAATTTTCTTCTTTCAGCCATTGATTTCTCTCGGGCCGAGCTCTTTTTCAAACTCCGCGGGCCCAAGCCAGCAAGTCGAGATTATCCAGTCATTTGCATTCCAACCCGGAAAACGCGCGTCTCGCGAACTGTTTGTTCCGCGCAAACTCATACCGGATTTGGCTTGTGGTCACACGCGATCACAGTGTGACTGCCTGTTACCGCTGTGCGCGTTTCCAGGCGTTTCCCCCCTCCATCTATGCTGCCCGCAGTCTTGTGGATCTCCTTGTGGGAGAATGCAGCGCCCCAGAGGGGTTGTGAAACTATTGAATCAATACATGAATATTCCTTCGAAAAGGTGCACTTAGAGTTTGTCAAGATAGATGCCTGAGTGAGTATGGACTCATAACATGTTACTTAGTATAACATATTTGACATTTCAGTTGACAAAATCCGTGCACGTCCCGAGGCCTAAGGCCAGGAATTGGACTCAGTCAATACTGCCTGTCTTCCGATAGTGATAAATTATTTCGTAGATGTTGCAGAAGAGGATCTAAGTGCCGGTTCGGGCAACAATCTGAGGCTCCAAGTTGACCTAGGCACAGTGTTTTATTCGTCAAAAAACCACTCAGTGATTTGTGGTATATTTCCGAGCTGATCTAAGGCGACATGACTTAGGTATTGTGGTGAGATAGATCGGTATCACTATGCTCTAACTTTATCAACTCTACTAAACAAAACTCTCTGGCGCGGGTTGTGTTACAGTGTGTGTCGACTGCGAGGCACAACAGCAGCGTCTGTAAAGCTGAAGTCACGTCGGAGTATCAAAAGCTCGCGCGTGACTACCATATATGGC